TATTTTGATAGCCTTTTCAAATAATTGTGGATAGTCTGCTTTGATATTAGCCCAAAAATTGACACACAGTACTTTCTGAAATGTCAGTTACAATGTAGAATCTGAAACCATATCAATAAGCTCTTCTCACTCTGTTAACTTAAAATTCATTCATCTATCTTGCACTTTGAATATATCTTTGAATGATGTTCCATTTTGACCTTGTAGACCCCTGAAAGAGTCTCAGAGATCCCCAGGGGAACCCTGATCACACCTTGAAAACCACTGAGGTAGACAATAAAAAAAGTAGAGACTTGTAGGATTTTATAACATAATTAACAAGTCTGATCTAAGAGGTATCTATATAGAACCTTGTTCACAAAAAAAAATCAATACACATTCTCTCAAACAAATAGTTCCCTCCATCAGGTTGGGGACACACTGTGCCCAGACAGACTGCAGATACCACAAGATGGACAGGTGCCTGGCCCGCCGGATGTTCCACCCAGCTGCCTAGGCCCTAGGTCAGCCTCATCAGAAAGAGGCACTACATCAGAGGAGAGAGCAGCCATCTCCCAGCTCAGTAGGCTGCAGAGCCAGGTAGCCTTCTGGCCACAGAGGGAGCAGCCCTTGCTGGGCTCCATGCCTGTGAAGGGCTTCCCTCCTCGCTCTCTTCATGGGTCCCATGACAGGGAGCCTCAGGGGTCCTCAAGACAGAGTTGCCAGGTAAAGACTGCCCATCCCCTTCTTCCAGCCTGGCCCCACTGCTCTATGGAGCCCCTGTGGCTGCTAGGTACAGACTCACCCAGCTCCGGGACTGTGTGCTGTTCCTCTACTAACCAGCAGCAGGAACAATGCCCCTCTCTGTCCAGGCCGTGCCCTGGGAGGCCAAGAACACACAGCTGACAAGCTGCCCAGGGAGCCAGCACCTTGTGCAACTACATGGGTGGCTCCAGCACCCACCCCATGCTCAGGGCCACACCTCTCCTGGAGGGCAAAAGCCCAGCCAAGCTCGGGGAGGGGGAGTGGGGAGGCCTGGAATTCAGGGAACAGAATTGCTGCTCAGTGCCCTAAACCAGAGCCCTGGCCAAGACATCTGAGGGGGCTTTCAGGATATACACCCCACTTTTACCCCAAACCCACACATCCCTTGCGGATCTAGCATCCCTAAACCAAAAAACCAAACCTGTTGCTGTAAGTCAGTTCTGACTCATGGTGACCCTATGTGTTACAGAGCAGAACTGCTCCATAGGGTTTTCTCAGCTGTAACCTTTACAGAAGCACATTGCCAGGGTCTTCTTCCACAGCCTTGCTAGATGGGTTCGAACCACCAACCTTTAGGTTAGTTGTTGTTGTTAGGTGTCATCAAGTCGATAACAACTCATAGCTACCCCATGTGACAGAGTAGAACCTCCACATAGGGTTTTATAGGCTGTAATCTTTAACAGAGAAGATCACCAGGTCTTTTCTTGAGTGGAGCCTCTGGGTAGGTTCAAGCCACCTAGCAGCCAAGTATTTAACTGTTGCACCACCAGGGCTCCTAGCTTTAGGTTAGTAGCCATAAAAATGTCTTGGCATTGGAGCTCACCTAACTTCAGGGAGCGGGAGAATGGATAATCACCATCAGCATCAGCCCAAAGCTGATTCCTATGAGGTGGAGGTCAGGCATACCTTCACTTTCCAACCTTTTTATCAATTCTAACACCAGCCATCCCTCCCACGGCACTCTCTACTTCTCTGCTGGGTTCCATAATTCGTTGCAGTGGCCACACAGAACTCACAGACCATATTCATGATTATGGGGTTTATTAGGGAAGTAACAGGTTATAATTCAGGATCAGGATCAGCTCCGAAGTAGCAAGAACAGCTCAGGATACAGTTCTTCGATCAAGACCTGCCATACCACCAGGCAGGCCTCTCTCTCAGCCTTTGGTCCTCGCTCTCAGCCTGGCCTCTGCCGGGCTCGGGGGCAAGTGTTACAAAGCTCTTTAGCTCCACCAACAAGTGCCTGGAGGCAACCCACAATGCCAGCAAGCTTCCTGCCCGAAGGTGCTCAGCTTTCTACTCCACTGGTCAGTGAACCTAGCCTGCCGGCCCCGTGCTGCTGCCATCTCATGCCGTATTCAGTGTTACAACTCCCTCTGGCTCCTGGGTCTAGGAGATTCTCAGCACAGGTACCCTGGGTCCAAAGGACACTCTCTGCTCCCGGCTCTTCTTCTTGATGGTAGTAAGATCCCTCTCCAACCTCTGGGATTGGCTCCCTTTAAGCCTAACGGGACGGCAAAACTGACCAATCCCCTACAAGGGTTCCATGCATGGTTCCACCCCCTCAAGGGTTCCATGCTCCTTACTCGCATTAGCAAAAGTGTCCAATCCCCTTGGTGGGCCACATGCACCTTATTTGCATAGTGCCACCCAGTCACTTTGTGGGAGTTACATGACCATGGCTAGAAGGGCCATACAATAGCAACCCACTGCACCACAGTAGTTGAGCACAAGCCATTTGCACCACTCAGGGATCACGCTAACATCCCTAGGTGACTATTATGTGCTGGCACTGCGTGGGGACTTTCCGTGCATCATTTTATTTGTCCCTCACAATAACTGCTGAGGAAGTTCTATTTTACAAACAAGGAAGGTGAGGGTCAGGGTAGCTAAGTACTTGCCCAAGGTCACACAGCTAGTAAGTGGTCAGGATTGGAGCCTGGCTCTTTCTGTTTCTTGCACCATTACTGCCCTACACTCCCTGGCCCTGACGGGACTGGTTCTTCACCTTTCTGAGTCAGCAGCAGCAGAACCTCTTGATGCTGGGGGCTGGAAGAAGGAAAGGCCCCCCGCTTGCTCGACCATGACCCAACTAGGCCATCCTGGACTTCAGAAGACATCCTGTCCCACCCTCGGGACTGTAATGTGCTGACTTTTCTTCTGTCTCGTCTGCCTTGCCTTGTGTCTAGATCACATGAAGCGGGGCCTATGTCTTTTGCCCCTCTGTGTCCCCATCCACACCTCACCCTGTGCCTTGCACATAGTAGGTGCTCCATACATGTGTGTTGAATATTAAGAGGAGTGGGCCCCCATCTGTCTCCACTATCACTGCAAGGACAGGCCCATGGGAAGACAGAAGCCCTAGAAACATTCAGGAGGTCTAGGGGGCAGAGGGCTGAGGACTCCTACGAGACACCTCCCCAGGGTGCCCTCCCCACTAAATGCTGGGAGGAAAGGCTTCAGGCTAGGCTCTCAAGGAGTACCCCCTCCCAAGGCTCTCATTCAAAGGCCCCCACCACGAGAAAGCCAATGGAAGACAGGGCCCAGAGAGGAGGGAAAGACACTGAACATGTGGTTCCCTGGACACCCTCTTCATGTTGTGGTTATTCGTTGCTGTCAAGTCAACCCGACTCATGGTGACCCCATGCACACCAGAACAAAATGCTGCCTGGTCCTGCACCATTCCCATTATCGGTTGCAGATTGGACCATTGTGATCCATAGGGTTTTCATTGGTTGATTTTCTGAAGTAGATCACCAGGCCTTTCTTCCTAATCTATCTTAGTCTGGAAGCTCTACTGAAACCAGTTCAGCATCATAGCAACACACAAGCTTCCACTGACAGATGGATAGTGGCTGTGCATGATGTGCATTGGCCAAGAATCAAACCCTTGTCTCTCACATGGAGGGCAAGAATCCTACCACTGAGCCACACAGACACTGTCAATTCCTTTCTCCTACAGTGTTTCCTGTCCTGAGTGGAATTTATCTTAAGGCAGAGTGGTTAAGCCATAGACTTTGGAGCTTAACACCTGGATTTAAACCCTGCCTCCTCCACTTCTTAACTTCAGATACTTCACCTCTTTGAACCCTCCAAAGCGATTAGACCCTTAGTCTCAAAATCCATACCTCCTGGTTGTATCTGGGATCTTGTTCTGGAACCAGACTACCTGGGTTCAAATCCTGGTCGTTACTTAACCACTCTTTGTCTCAATATCCTTATCCGTAAAGTGGGGATTATAATAGCTAGTACTCACCTTACTGCATTATTGTGAGAATTAAATGAGGTACGTTGTGCAATGGACTTGGAACAGACCCTGGCACACAGTAGGCACCCAATAACTATTAATTGTCATTAGAAATACTAGTTAATAAGGTTGTGAAGTGCCGTGCACGTCCCTGGCACTTAACAAGAGCTCACTAAATAGCTATGATTATCTTCGCCCCCACTAGGCTGCAGTCTCTGGAGGTGGATTCTGGGTCTTATCTGTCTCTGATTCCCCAACGACCAGCAGGGTGCCTGGCACCGAGCTCAATTAACGCTTGAGGCCTGAGAGTGAAGAAATGCCTGCCTGAACCAGAACGGTGTGGGCAGCCTGAGACAGAAGGGAAAACCGAGGTGTCAGGGTAAAGAAAACAGACCGGAGTGGGAAAGGCCGAGGCGGAGAGATAATTAAGTGAAGTGAGTGAGAAAAGAAACAGGAGAAGCTGCGGCGGAGAGATAAGGAGGAAGGATGGAGAAGGTGAGGGGCGAGGAAAATGTCCAGGGAGGCAAGGGAACCCCGGAGAGAGGCGCAATGCGAGGCCAAGGCTGCGTCTGGGAAGCCGGTGAGCTGCAAAGGGGCTTAAGACCCGGCGGTGGGCGGGACGCGCTGGAACGAAGCGGGAGGGACTGAGGGGGCTCCACCCTACCCCCGCCTTGGGGCGGGGGCACCGGACAGCCGGAGATTGGCTGGGGCGCGCGGCGAGGCCGGGGCAGAAGCCCCGAGGTGGGAGGAAGCTAGGATCACTCGGTGCGCCCGGGTGCGGAGCGAAGGCTGCCACCCACTTGGGCGACCTCAGCGGCAGCGGCTGCAGGGGAGCGTCTGGGCCGGAGCGCACTCCGGGGCACCTGGGGGCGCTGCGCACCGAGTGCCAGGGCCATGCGGGCGGCGGCG